ATGCTTTGCATACATGAAGACCTGGATTCATTACCACAAAAAGAAAAAAAAAATGTTATTGACACAAGAAACCGCAAAAAGGCTGGAAAAATATCCTAGATTTGGGACTAGAGTTGTGGCTCAGTGGTAGAGCGCTTGCCTAGCAAGAGTGAGGCACTGGGTTAGATTCTCAACACCGCATATAAAAAAATAAAATAAAATGGGGGCTGGGGTTGTGGCTCAGTGGCAGAGGGCTTGCCTCACATATGTGGGGCACTGGGTTYGATCCTTAGCACCACATAAAAATAAATGAACAAAATAAAGATATTGTGCCCAAGTATAACTAAAAAATTTTAAAAAATAATAATAAAAATAGATAAATAAAATGAAGTTCATTGACAACTAAAAAAATTAAAAAACAAAAAGATCCTAGATTTGATACCATGCAATAGCATGCAAGATCTTTAACTAGATCTTGAATCAAAAACAAAAGACAACAACAAACTAAGGACAGTATTMGGAAAAGTTGAAAGAGTAATCATATTACATCCATGTTAAAAATCTTAATCTCTGTATATCTACAACTAAATTGTAGATATAGAGTCCTTGTTCTTGGGAAATAAAAGCTAAAGTGTCTGGGAATAAAAAGAACAAATAATATCCATATTCACACCTAACTTTCATATGGTTCAGCAAAAAGTGTATGTATTCTCTGTGTAAAGCAAAAATGACAAAATGTTAGCAATTTGCAGATCTAGATGAAGGCTAAATGGGTGTTTATGTATTATTCTTCTATAGGTTTGCAATTTGGGGGGGGGGGSCCCACAGGTATTACTAGAGGTTGAACCCAGGGTGCTCAACCTCTGAACTATATCCCCAGCCCTGTTTTTAATTTTCTATTGAGTCAGAGTCTCGCTAAGCTGCCCACATTGGCCTTGAACTTGTGATCCTCCTGCATCAGCCTCCAAAGTCCCTGGGATTACAGGCATATGCCACTGTAGCCAGTACACTAGTTATTCCTTATAGAGCCGCTTTTCTCTTTTGACAGAGGCAAATCTGTAGGCCTCAACATATAGAATGTAATTAGCAGGGTGTGAAGTAGCTACTCAGGAAGCTGAGAGAGCTGGTTTTGAGACCAGTAGGCAAGTGAGGATATAGCTAAGTGATAAAGAACCCATAAATTCAATCTCTAGTAAGGGGGAAAGGGAAGAATAGGAGAGTAATTAGGAAGTAAAATCACTAACCTAAGATCACACAGTAAATATACCTGAGCAAAGCAGAGACCTTTTCTTTTTATCACATCATCATAGAAAGTTAGGGGATAACCAAAACCTGCATAGCAGCAAGCACTAAGAATAAGTAGTGGGGGCTGGATATGTGGCTCAAGCGGTAGCGCGCTTGCCTGGCATGTGTGCGGCCCGAGTTCGATCCTCGGCACCACATACAAAGATGTTGTGTACGCCGAGAACTGAAAAATAAATGTTAATAAATTCTCTGTCTCTCTCTCTCTCTTTTAAAAAAAAAAAAGAATAAGTAGTGCCCAGGGCTGGGGTTGTGGCTCAGTGGTTGAGTGCTCACCTAGCACGTGCGCCCTGGGTTCCATCCTCAGCTCTACATAAAAATAAATAAAGGTATTGTGGGGCTGGGGATGTGGCTCAAGCGGTAGTGCGCTCGCCTGGCATGCGTGCGGCCCGGGTTCGATCCTCAGCACCACATACAAAGATGTTGTCTGCCAAAAACTAAAAAGTAAATATTTAAAAATTCTTTCTCTCTTTAAAAAAAAAATTGCTATATGCAAAATATGACTGCTTTCCTTAAAAAAAAAAAAAAAAGGTATTGTGTTCAACTACAACTAAAAAATAAATATTAAAAAAAAAAAGTAGTGCCCAGGGCTGCAGTGATAAAGTATTGGTCCTAGTATGACCAAGGCCACAGGTGCAATCCCCAGTATCACGATAAATAAATAATTAGTACCCAAATGGAACCAAATGCCCACAAAAGCACTACACAGTGTTCAGGAAATAATATTCTATCTTTTAAAAAATATGTAAGATGAAGTCAGGCATGGTAGCAAGCTCCTGTAATCCCGGCAGCTTGGGAGGCTTTGGCAGGATTGAAAGTTTGAGGCCAGCCTCAGCAACTTAGTGAGGCCCTGACCAACTTAGTGAGACCCTGTCTCAAAATAAAAAGGGCTGAAGATCTAGCTCAGTAGTAATACACCTCTGGGTTCAATCCCCAGTACTTCCCCAAAAAAATTAGATGAAAACTTTCCGTTTCATTCAATATGGATAATACTATTTGCAAGACTTTAAAAAGGCCCCTGTTGTCACAGAACTGACATAAAAGTAGGAAAGTAAAAGATTAAAATATTCAACAAATATACAAATAACATAACACCAGATAGACACATGCCATAAAGAAAACATAGGGGCAGGGCTGGGGTTGTAGCTCAGTGGCAGAGAGCTTGCCTAGCATGTGTGAGGCACTGGGTTCGATCCTCAGCACCATATACAAATAAAATAAAGGTATTCTGTTCATCTACAACTACAAAAAAAAGAAAGAAAGAAAACACAGGAGCAGCAGGCAAAGAATGATAAAGGTAGCAATGTAAGGGCACAGATTGACAGGGATGACCTCTCCCAGGCAGGGACTCATAATGGAATGTTCAATTCTACACAAATACCAATCATGTTTCATAAAATAGTTTTCTTTAGGAGCTGGGGTTGTAGCCTAGCAATGGAAGGTGTGCCTAGCATGTGTGACACATTGGGTTAGACCCTTAGCACCACATAAAAGTAAATAAAATAAAGGTATTGTATCCATCTACAACTAAAAATATTTTTAAAACATAGTTTTCTTTACATTTTAATACTCCCTCTTAATTATTTTCCAGAAAAAAATTGCTGCAGTGATTTTTTTATTACTGCTATTATTTCAGAGGTAGAAAATCCCACCCAATGTTGACAGGTGTTTCACAAAGTACAAATTTTAAGATACACATATTCTGGGGGAAAAAAAATGCTGAGTGATTTATCAATGACAAGACTAATAGAAAAACAAAGAACTCCAAGAATCTGAAACAGAATTAAAAAAAAAAAAAATGACTTACCAACTCTTCAACTCCATAATCTCTACATTTACTTCCTATCATATATGAAAAAAAGGGTAACAGGAAGATAAATTTGGATAAAGACTCTGGTATTTTTCTCTTAAAGGTAAAGAAAATTAGGATATCCTCCTCTTTAAAAGCCATACCACCCTCATGATTTTAAGAAAAATCAGCAAACACTAACATTTCCTTTCACAGAATTACACAAGAGCTTGGAGGACTTAGATTACTTGGAACTAGGGAAGCGCCTTAATACAAAAATCTGAGGGCCAAAATATTCACTTCCCTTTCTTCCTCTGATTCTTTTGCTGATTAACAGTACCCTGAATGAAAAATCTATTGTCTGTCTTTCCAAACTACCACTCTGGTATAAACAACAACTACAAATCTACTACTCTGATTCTATCCAAATCTTTGATTTCCTTGATCATGAAATTCTTTTTCATCTACACTATTATCCTGTCTACTTTGTCTTCTGTTTTACCTAATGACACAAATATTTCCAGGCATTCATAGATGCCCCAAAACTTCTCACTTTTTTAGGAGTTTTTAACCATTTGTGCTATGGAATGCTTTGGAAGTCTGGTGAAGTCTATGGTCTCAGATTGATTTTTTTTTTAATTTTATTTTGGCTAATGATTTCAGAGGTCTTTTTTTTTATATTTTATTTTTTAGTTATTGGCAGACACAACATCTTTCTTTGTATGTGGTGCTGAGGATTGAACCCGGGCCGCACGCAGGCGAGCGCACTTCCGCTTGAGCCACGTCCTCAGCCCTCAGATTGATTTTAAATGCACAATATATATGAATATGAAAGAAACCTATTATACAGAAATACTAGCAAAACAATAAAAAAGATATGGCTTTATAATCACATTAGTTATAAGATCTGGTAACCCCATAAATTCGAAGAAATGATAAGCGTAAAGAATATCTGAGATATGTACATCAACTGTAAACAACATCTGTGATTTTTATTGGTAACAACTACAAATCTAAGATTGTGCATTTAAAATCAATCTGAGACCAATACTATTGTGGTTTGTTGTCTACTTTCCTAACTGAAGGAAATAATAAATTTCAGCTAGTCAACAAAAATTAAGATGCAATTTTACCCCTAGTCTTGTTACAGGACCCTTGAATTCTATCCACATTCTTTCCACTAGTGAACCCTAGATTGAAACTCTTTCCAAGCCCTGCTCAAACTGTTTTTTGTCGCTAATTTTAAAACACTGATTCCTCTCATTGAACATAACACCATGTCTCCTTGTTCTCATGCAGATTTATGCATAGATTCCTGTTTATTTCTGGGGTTTGCCTAGCCGGCACTCATGACAATTTTGCCAGTCAATAAAACGTGAAGTTCAAGGAAAACAGAAGCAAACAAACGACCCACAGCCCCTCACTTCCAGACCTCCACCCCCAAGTGGAAAGAAGCCAGGTAGAGGGTGAGCGTTTACGGTAGATGAGCTGCCCCAGACCCGTGCGTCCAGCTTGTCAAGATTCCCCGGTGCGCGACATCCCCGCCAGAGTCCTTCGGAAGACACCCCACCCGCTTCTCGCCTCGGGTGCTCAGTGTCCTGTCTGCCGGGGGCTCTCCCTGGCCCGCACCCCGAGCCGCCCCGCGGTTCTCCGGCCCCTTCCCACCCCATCCCCCATGCGTCCCTCCCTCCGGTCCGTCCCAGGCCGGCCGCCCCGGCCCCTGCGCGTTGCCTCATCTCCTCCCGGGCCTCGCCGCCTGTCCCCCCACCACCGCCTCGCCAGACATTGAAGGGAAGGGTGCCGGGCCCAGGGGTCAGCTGCACCCGGCCGCCCGGCCGTCAGGCGCAGGCTGCGGCCCAGGCCGGAGCAGACGGGCTGCCCAGCACGGAGCCGTGCACTCGGCACAGGATAGCTCGGGACGCGCGCTCACCGACGGACGCATGCGGAAGAGGGCACCGAGGTCCGCGTCGGACGGCCACTCGGCCACAGAGCCGTCGCCCTTGCCGCGAACCACCACCGCCGCTGCCGCTCGCTTGTCGGCTTCCCTGCGTCCTGCGGCGGCGCTGCCGCCACGCTAGCGCGCGTGCGCGGCGCCGCGGGGGCCCCTGGGATCGGCGGCGCGGCCCTGCCCGGCCCGGCCGCCCGCCCGCGGCTTCCCTTCCGCTGTCCGCCGCGGACCTGGCAGCTGCGCGCGTCCGGTCCCGGCTTCCTGAGAACCGCTCACAACACCCAGGCCCTCGCCTCCGCGCACAGGAATGTTGGCCGTGAAAAATCCGCCAGTGCAAATACATGTAAAGACTTTCACGTGCCAGGGACATTATTTGAATGATTTTTCACTCTCACCCCTGGCACACTTGCTCTTCCTTTCAGTTGAAAGCGTCGTGAATCGGTTGGGTGGTGGCTGGATTTGCAATATTAAACCTGGTTTCCCACTTGCCATTTTATCGAATTTTACATACGGTAAACTTGACCTTACAGTTATTTTAAGTAAGTCAATTGACAATTTATCGAACAACTACTTTTGGGGGTGGGGGGGGCAGGTGAGGATCGAACAACTACTTAACAGAATACTCAGATGTATTCAGAGCTTAGGTTAGCCCAGTTGAACAGCCATAGAAACCTTAAAATTGGAAGACACCTTAAAGGTCATTAGTGCAACTCCTGCCCAAGCAGGAATCCCCTCTTGTACATTTAGCCAGATGGTCATCTTTTTAACAGTTCACATTTCAAGGAACTCGTTAAGTATTGCAGCCTGCTCCACTATTGGACCAGCTCTAAATGTTAGAAAGTTCCACCTTCTGCTGAGCTGAAATCTGCTTCCTTTAATTTCTTTCCAGTGCTAATAGTTATACTGTACAGCATGTTTTTCATTTAGCAAATGATCCTCTAAGCACAAAAAATAGTAAATAAATATTAAAAAAATCATTTTCCCAACCATTTCAGATGTGAMTCAAATCCCAGACTGCTCTCTCCATCTAGTTACCTTCCTTGATATACCCACTTTAAAAATTGTTAGAATTCGCTTTATTCTCTGGTAGCTAGTTAGGTACCAGGATTCAATTCAAATATTATTTACCAGCTCTTTTTAAATTTTTTAAAAATATTTTTCTGTTGTCGTTGGACACAATACCTTTTTTTATTTATTTTTATGTGGTGCTGAGGATGGAACCCAGGGCCTTACACATGCTAGGCTAGATAGAGTTCTACCCCTGAGCCACAACCCCAACCTTTATTTTTTATTTTTAACCAGGAATTGAACTCAGGGGCACTCAACCACTGAGCCACATCCCCCAGCCTTATTTTTGTATTTTATTTAGAGACAGGGTCTCACTGAGTTGCTTAGCACCTACTCATTGCTGAGGCTTTTAGCTCGCTATCTTCCTGTCTCAGCCTCCTGAGCCCTTGGGATTACAGGAGTGCTTACCACTTTACCTGAATCTATTTACTAGCTCTTGTTACATTGTACAAAGCAGCAGCAAGAAGAAAAAAGCAACAGGATACAATTTATAACCTAAAGTGGAAAAAACTCCCACACATTAAGGATTGTAAACTGAGGTAGGAATGCTACCAGATTCCCAGATCTCATCAGGTTGTCCTTATGGAGGAGGTGACACTTGGAAGTTAATTAATGGCTGAGTTCAAGTTGGAAAATGGCATTAGTGAATTGCTAAGAAAGAATCCAGCCTGAATAAAATGAATTTGTTCATAGTGAGCTCTGGAACACTGAGTACTCTAGACAGACTGGAGCACACAGGCCAGAGAGGAGGGGAATAAAAGACCTCCAAAGTACCTACAAGAATCTTGAGGGTCCTCAACCAACTATATTGTACATAGTAAGTGAAAAGAGAACTGGAATAGTTAGTTAATAACTAAGCCCTATTCTGTCACCTATGAATGAAGAACTTGAGATGGATAAACAGTTTCCAATCTTCTTTCCATTTGGCACACCCAGGGAATTCAATTCTCCTACCAGGGCTATGGATTTACAATTCTTGCAGAACGTGGACTAGGTAATACACTTACCACGATTTACTCCTATGGGCAGAGAACCTGGCTGTCTTCATGGAACCTGTTGAAACAATATTTCTTTTGGCAGGGGTGAAAATTTTTGTTTTTTCTTGATTTTTGATTTTGGTATTGGAGACTGAACCCACAGACGCTTTCAACTACTGAGTTACATTCTCCAGTCCTTTTAATTGAAGCTGGTCTCAAATTTGAATTCTTCCTGTTTTGGTCTCTCAAGTTACTGGAATTACAGGCATGTGCCACCAATGTGCCATCATATATTGCTATTATTATTATTATTATTATTATTATTATTATTTATTTGGTACTGGGGATTAAACCAAGAGGCACTTAGACATTGAGCCACATTCCCACCACTTCTTTTCTTTTCTTTTTTTTTTTTTTTTTTTTGAGACAGGGTCTCACTAAGTTGCTTAGGGCCTCACTAAATTGCTGAGGCTGACCTTGAATTAGTGATTCCTCTGCCTCAGCCTCCTGAGTGGCTGAAATTATAGGTGTGTAACACCACACCAAACTA